TTCTATTTTTTGAAGGAGATTATATAAAATTGGTATTAGTTGGTAGAATTTGCTAGTGAAACCATATGGGTCTGGAATTTTCTTTGTGGAAAGGTTTTAAACAATTTCTTTAGTAAGTTTAGGGCTACACAGGTTATCTATTTTTGAAAGGGCTTTAACAGCTTGTGTTAGGCAGAAGAATGGCTCCCAGAGATGCCCACACCCTAATTCCTGGGCCTGCGCATGTGTTATGTTACATGGCAGAAAGCAAATCCAGGTTGCAGATGGCACTGAGGTTGTTAATTGGCTGATTTTAAGACAGGAAGATTATTCTGGATCATCTGGGTGGGCCCAATGTAATAACAGGGTCCTTAAAAGTGGAAGATAGAGGCAGAAGAGGAGGTCAGAATGGTGCAATATGAGAAGAGCTTTACTTGCTTTTTTGGCTTTGAAGACAGAGGAAGGCCTAGGTGCCAAGGAGTATAGGTAGCCCCTCACAGGTGGGTAGGCAAGGGATGGACCTCACCCAGAAAGGAGTACAGCCCTGTGACACCCAGATTTTTGCCATGTGAGAACCGGGCAGACTTCTAACCTACAGAACTGTAAGAAAATCAACTGGGGATGGATGATTTAAGACACCAAGCTCATGGTCATTTGTTAGCATAGGCAGAGGCCAAGTTTCTCAAGGAATTGGTCCATGATTTCTTCTAAGTTGTCACTGATTTGACAAGGTATTTATTTAGAGTTGTTGGTAATACTCAATGTTCACAGAGCCCACAGTGACACCCACTTTTCATCCGTGAGGCTGCTGATTTGTGTCTTCTCTCTTTTTCAAAGGACCATCTTTCAATTTCATTGATTTTTCTCTAGTTTTACTGTCTTCAATTTTACTGGTTTCCACTCTTTATTGTTTCCTTTTCTTCTGCTTCCTTTGTTTTAATTTGCTCTTCTTTTACTAGTTTTTAAAAGTTACCTTTGCTTTCTTGGTGTTACTTAACTGTATGCTTGCATCATTTAATTTTAATCATGGCTGTTTAACAACCAGCCGCCACATCCCGAGAACCCTGGGGCTCCCTTGTGTGAGGTTCCCAGGCCCAGTCAGTCCCCACCAGCCTCTCCCTCAGCTCCAGGCTGTCCGCTGCTGCCAGGCAGCACTCCCACTTGAATGTTCTGCTGACAGCTCAGTATAAACGTAAACAAATGGGGTCCACCACAAAGCCCCTTCGCTCCCCTACTCTCCGAGCCTCCCGCTCTGGTGCCACGTGAAGCTGCCTCCTTGACTCCTCCCTACACTCTGCACCCCGGCGACGGAGCCCCTGAGCTTGGCCTCAGTGCCATCTGGAGTCTGCACACTTCCCACAGTCCTGTCTTCACCCTGCCCACATCCTTGTCTACCCACCCCCTGGATGCTGCCCTGGGCTCCCTGCCCCCTCCTAGCCCCTGTGTCTTCTATTCTCACTGCAACAATAGGAAAAGGTGGGGCTGGGCACAAGGGCTTACACCTGGAGGCTGAGGCAGCAGGATCACTTGAGCCCAGGAGATCAAGTCAAGCCTGGAAAACACAGGGAGACCCCAACAAAAAATTTTAAAAATTAGCCAGGCGTGGAGACGCGCACCTGTGGTCCCAGCTACTTTGGAGGCTGAGGTGGGAGGATCACTTGAGCCTAGGAGGTCGAGGCTGCAGTGAGCTGTGGTCACACTGTTGCATTCTAGCCTGAGTGACAAAATGAGACCCTGTCTTAAAAAAAAAAAAGTAGTTTACATCAGGTCTCTCCTCTGCACACAACTCACAACAGTCCCACCTCAAAGAAAAAACCCAGGTCCCTTCCACAGCCTCCCCAGGCAGCCCTCTCCCTTGCCAACTCCCCCCTCCCATGTGCTCTGCCAGCTCCGGGCCTGGCTCTCGTGGCTCTTCCTAAAGCACTTCGGCCTGTCCCTGCAGGACCTCTGCCTCTGCTATCCCTTGTCTACAAATCACCCCCATGGCTTGTGCTCCTGTGTCTGGCTCCTCCTCAGAGGCCTTCCCCACCACTGAGGGGAAACAGCAGCCCCTGCCCCTCTTCCCTCCCCACTGGGCTCCACCTTCCCAGCCCGGCCCTCCCCAGTGCGTGCATATTTGTCATGGTCCAGCTCTCTTCCCTCCAGTCCTCCCACTCACTGCCCTAGAGCAGTGCCTGGCTCCCAGTACCCAACCAGATTTGTTGAACAAATGAATGAAAGGGCAGCAGCCCAGAGATCGCCTCAACGCCTCCCTTACTTCCGCTCTGCTAGGCTGAGGGCACAGCCCTGCACAGGGCTGACAAGCTGCCGGAGGAGCCCACAAAGGGGACCCCTCCCGTCCCCTGACCCACACAGCTCCACCTTGGGCCATTCAACCCCTCAGCTCACCACTTCGTCCGGCAACACTGCCACTCTCTCTGGCCTTCCCATATCTTCCCAAGGCCGGAGCCCTCATCCTGCCTTTCCTGACTGCTACTCCCGCAGCCTGCAGGGCTCAGCCTGGCCATCACCAGCTCTGGGAGGCCTTCGGTGGCCTCAGCCACCTTAGCAGCCTTCTCAGCTCCAACTCCTGACACACACGACCGTGCAACAGCCACACTGTGAATGAAAGAAAAACAAGTAAACTCATAAAACCACGGCTGCCAAGGGAAGGGTAAGGACCTAGGCCCACCAACCTCCCTGCCATCCTCCTACACTAGGGCCTGGGTCAGCCCAGCCCAGGAGCAGGGACCCAGTAATCACCCAGGACCTGTGGGTGTCAGCCTGCACAGCTCTCAGCCCATCCCAAGACAGGGAGGAGAGAAAAGCAGGCTCCAGTCCCACAGGAGGCCATGCCTCCCGCATCGCCATTCCCTGCCACACTTCCAGCCCCAGTCACACTCCTTGACCACAGTTCCCAGGATGGCACCCAAAGGGAAGGCAGAGAATGAATCAGGAGTGGACAGGCAGTGATGATCAGGAGAACAGGCAGTGATGAATCAGGAGGTAGAGCCAGAACCCCCACAAGCAGCCCAAGCCCAGATCCTTCTCCCCAGTCGCCCCACTGCCTTCTCCCCAGAGTGTCTGCTTAACGGTCCAGGACGAACCTGGATGAGGCCAAGGAGGAGAGAGACTGTGGCCCCAACTCTCATCCCTGATGCTCTATGTGTGTCAGGGGCAGAGTGCATGTGGTCCCACCTTCCGGGCCTCAGGCTCAGCAGCTGGTCCAGCCCCTCCCTGCAGCCCTGGGTTCCCAGTCCTCAGTCCCAGAAATTCCCTCAAGAGCACTTGGCCCAAAGCCTCCCTATGCTTTACAGAATTGTTGCTGAGGGCAGCACAGCTGGGAGCAGAGGGGACACTGGGGACCGCAGCTAGGCCCCTACTAGTTGCACTTCTCCCATGGGGACCCTTTCCACACCCTGGGCCAGAGCCAGGGTCACAGAGGCCTCAAGGGCCAGCCTGGTCCTGACACAGCCCAGCGCCTGGCTTGGCCTCCCTGCCACGCCCCACACTCTCACCTGTCCTCTGTTCCCATGGCCCAGCCTTGGCCTGAGCCAGGCACTGGCACCTCCTGTCTGAACCTTGCCCTGTCGTGGCCACACATGCCTGGCCATCTCTCCTGGTCCTCCCTCCACCGCCTGTCAATTCAACATTGTCCTGTTCTAGGCGCCATTCAAGCCTCCCACAGCACCATCAGCACCACGAGCCCACCTCTGCCCCCTCAAGCGGATCACTTAGCCTCTCTGAGTCACGATTTCCTCATCTGTAAAATCTACTTGGAAGGCTCCTGTGAGGCTGTGAAGGCAGCAGGTACCCAACAGCTGGCAGACTGCAAGTCTGACCCACTCTGCCCAAGCCCTGAGGCTTCCTGCCCTGGGGAAGCTGTTACTCTCGTGTCAGCCTGGGCTCCTGCTTCCTGCCTGCCCCGCTGGGAGGGGCCCCGTGTAGGCCACAGCTCTTCTCTGAGCTTCCTGGGTGTCGTGTTGTGGCAGGAGGCGAGCAGGAGAGGAGCTGAGAAGAGCCAGGTGGCCAAGCAAAGGGACTGCAGGGAAGGCCACCCACTGACCCTATGGTTTTCTGGGCCTCAGTTTGCCCTCAGCTCAGTAAAACTGAGATTTCTACAGGCAAAGCCTTGAGCCAGGGAGAGGAGAGAGTCCTGCCCCAGATTGGCCCTCCCTACTTTACCACCTGGAGGCAGGAGCGGCTGGCTGGGCCCACAGGAGCGAGCCTCTGGTACACTGGGAAAGCCGAGAAACAAACACAACAGAACTCAAATCTGAAAAGCCCAGAGCCTGGGTTGCCATGGCAACCTGCAGCCAGCTCCACCTGGCTCTCTGCCAGCCTGGGTAGGGGCCGGGACTCGCCAGGCACGGCTGCTCCCACCTCTGAGGCCTCCTCCTTGGGCTTGGTCCAGCTTCTACTTGGACACAGGAGCAGAACAAGGCCACAGAGAGGCACCTCTGCCCTGTCAGGTCGGCTGGGCAGATCTGGGCTCCCACTGCCAGCTTTCTCCTAGAGTAAAGCCCAGCCCCTGAGCCTCCAGAGTCCAGCACCTCCCAGCACCCTGCCCAGCACCACACTCAGCATCTATTGCTCCAGCAGCCGCCAAGCCTATCAGCTGCCTGAGTCACCACAATACCCCTGCATATGGAGAGGCCTTGGGCTCCCGCCAGGTCAGTGGCCTCTAAGCTGTTACATGGGCACCGGCAGAGGGACAGTGAGATGATTTCCTGCCTTTCCTCACAGCTGGGTACCAGCACTAGGGTGGCATCTCACATGACTTTTCTCCTTAGTGTCACTCCCTATGACAGATGAGGAAACAAGTTCAGAGCAATTAAGTGACTTCTCAAGGTCACAGAGCTTCTACGTGGTAAGCCGCAGAGGCTTGGAACTCCCAGGCCCAGGCCCCTGCCCTGGATCCTGTTCCTGGATGCCCTGGGCTGAGCCCTGCACATCACCAAGGCCTATCACCCACCCACTCTCCTGACCTCCCGGCCACAGGGTTGTGCCCGGTCTACACAGACACACAGCAGACAGAGGACGGCCTTCAGGTTTCCATTTAATGGCCAAGCCAGCACTGCCAAGATGTCTTCCTGCCTGAGGAGCCCACCCATGCTGGCATCCCTCAGCCTCACTAGCGGCATCCCAGTCCAGTCGTGGTGTGGGCCTCATCTCAGCTCCTTCAGCAAGCTGTCCACAGAGCCCAGCAGCTCCCGGAAGTAGCCTTCGTCCTCACCGTCCTGCAGCTCCAGACTGGCCAGCACCTGGTACTCAGCCTGCAGGCTGGCCAGCGTCCTGCTGAGCTGGGGGTCCTGACGGTAGCGGTCCTGGCAGGTGGCCAGGAGGACACCCAGCGTCTGCAGCACCTTTTCACGGGCATCATGCTCAGGCAGTGCCAGGAGATGGGCTGTGATCTCACACCAGCCCTGTTCCCGCAGGCCTGGCAGGAGGTGCACCTGGCGATACTGCTGCAGCTTCTCTGGGGATGTCTCCTGGGTCAGCTCGGCCTCCTCCTCGGCAAACATCTGCCATCCGCCACAGCCGGGTGCCAGGTGGGGTGGGGGTGGGGAAGAGAACACATGGGAGCTGTTAGCTCACACCTTGCCAGCTCTGCCTTTCAGACACGAAGGCGAGGCTGACCCCTGAGGGCCACATCTTTCTCCAGCTCCAAGTCTGACTCTATCCATTCATCCATCCACCAACAAAAACATCTGTGCAGGGCCAAGTACTGGAGAAACCAAGATGGAGACAGTCTAGCCCTCAAGACACTTAGGGTCTAATAGGAGAACACAAATGTACTGAATAATTCCCAAAGAGCATGATATGTTTAATATCCCAGTGCAGACAAGCTGGCTTTAAATTCCTGCTCCATGGCTGAATGACCATGGCTGGCAGGCAGTGACCCTAAGACCCAACACCATCACCTCCTAAGTGGAGAAACCAGAGCCCCCCATGCATGTTGGGAGGATGCCATGGAATGATGAACGTGCAGCTGCTGTCCAGCACACCATGCACACTCCACCAACGGGAGCTTGCGTATCAAGTACTGCTACGCGTGTCCCTCCACAAATGTTAGCCACGCCAGCATCGCCTTCTCTCCCATCACCACCATCTCTACCACTACAAGTCCTCTGAGGACAGACTGCTGCTGCCGGAGGCTGGAGCACAGAGGAGACTGATGTGGCCCCAAGTCTGCAGGGTGATGGGAGTCACCCAAGTGGATGGGGGAGAGGGCCATCCACACACGGGGGCCACTGAAGGCCTGGGCCGCCTTGTGTTTGAAGAATGTCAGGTTGTTCTGGTGGACAGGCATGGGGCCTGATGGCCAGGATGGAACCCAGAACACACAGAGCCCTCGGTGCCCCTCCAAGGAGGTAGCCTTTATGCTGCTGGCCTGGGGAGCTGAAGTAAGTCTGGGCTGGGAGTTGCACACTCAGCCTGCCTGGAAAGTGCAGAAGCCCAGCTCCATCAGCAGAACACGGTGGGAGCCAATCCTGCCGGGCTGTCAGCAGTGGGAAAGGCAATGCTTGAAATCTGACAGGCAGGCGGGTTACCTGAAGGTCAGAGGTAGAGGGTCGGGAGGGGGCAGAGATCACCCATGCAGCTGTACGAAACGTGCCTGTGGAGAGGAAGAAGCAATGCTTGCCCTCACCCCAGGGGAGAGTGAAGCAAGGGGAAGACAAGCCAGGCAAGAGGGACGCCCAGGAGAAGACAGGGCCAGAGGACACCTGGTGCCTCCTGTGGCAGAAGGAAACTGTAGGGCTGACTGGAGCTGGCAGAGGAAGCTGGGGAGGGGTGCGGTCCTGCATCCTGGGACAGGAAAGGCTGAGACAGACCCAGTGGTCCTTTCCTACTCCACCCCTCAGTCCTGCCAGCTTCACCCCCAAAACACATCCCAATCCTGTCAGCTCCGCCTTCACCACTCCACCCCCTGTGTGCTGAGGTCCACTGCCTCTCGCTCCCACCTCTCCTCCAGCCCCCAAACCCTCACAACCTGGCACTGCAGGTGATAAAGATGAAATCAATCCCTTCCCTGGGACTGTGAGGCTCCGCAGGCTCCGCCCCTGCTGTGCCCGGCCTGGACGCACTCACACCCATTCCTGTCACTCTAACTCTCCCCCGGGGCCTCTGGAGGCACAGCTCCCACTCCCAGGTGCACCCCCGCATCGCCCCACTCACTCCACAGCTCCCTGCACACCTCAGCACCACTGACCGGCCTCCCCTGACTGGTCTCCTCTGCTTACATGCTGCTGTGGTTTGAATGTGTTCCATAACAGTTAAAAAAGCTGGGAATTAAGCTTCCAAGGCAGCAGTGTTGAGAGGAGTTGCCCAGGTCAAGAGGGCAGGGGGCTCCTTATCGGAGAGCAGTTGTTATTCTAGAAAGCAAGCCTAGCCCGGCGTGCTTTTCTCCACACGTGCTCTTGCCCCCTCACCTTCCACAATGTTACGATGGGGCACAAAGGCACCCACCCATCCTTGGACTTCCCAGCCTCCCGAATCATGAGCCGAAAATGCCTTTTCTTTATACATGATCCAGTCCAGGGTATTCTATTAAAGCAGCAGCAGACTGACTACGGCACACGCTCCAGGGAATTCTCTGACAAACATCCGCCCGAAAGCCCGGGACCACAGGGACTGCAGACTATTTCCCCAGCACCCAGCACAGCAGACAGCACAGTTGGGCAGGGTTCCCCTGCAGCCCTTCAGCTCCTCTGATGCACCAGAGGCCATGGAATCCAAACCCCAGATAGACATCTCACCACTGCAGAAGCCCAGATGCCAGGGCCAGGTCTCTCAGGAGAGGCCGGGTCACAGGCCAAGGCACATATGAGGATACCCGGGGGCCTGGCAGACCCCAGCCCTGAGAGGGGTGTCACTACCCATGGGAATTCCACATTCCCCAGGTGTCATGATGACATGTTACAGTGATCCCATGGAGCTGCACGGTGCCCGTCCATCATGGTGGACCGCTCAAAGTCCTCCACCTTCAGGCAGCTCTGGACCCACCCCTAGTTGGGCTAGGTCTTCACTGTTTTCTAAGAGCTGCAAGAAGCTGGACTTAGTGGCACACACCTATAATTCCAATACTTTGGGAAGCTGAGGCAGGATCGCTTGAGCCTAGGAGTTCAAGACCAGCCTGAGCAACATAGTGATACCCTGTGTACAAAAAATGAACAAAACTGGCCAGGCATGGTGGCATGGGCCTGTAATCCCAGCTACTTGTGGGGCTGAGGTGGAAGGATCACTTGAGTCTGGGAGGTGGAGGTTGCAGTGAGCCAGGATCGCGCCACTGTACTCCAGCCTGTGTGACAGAGCAAGACCCTGTCTCCACTCCAAAAAAAAAAAAGAAAAGAAAGAAAAACAGGAATCACAAGAACAGATAAGCCCTGACTGCCTCAACCAGAGTACAGTCTGTCCTAAATCTCTCTGGATGAAACTCATCCACTGTCCTCTCTGAAAGAAGAGGGCTGTTTCTGTGCTGTTTGTAGAGATGCCGATCCTTCCCTCCCCAGTCACATCAGCACCCCGAAGGTTCCAGAGGCAGGCTCTCGGAGCCGGTGCCTTGGGGCAGCCTTGGTGAGCCTGCCTGGTGGCAGTGTGGTAGCCATGGGTCACTGCCATAGTGCCCAGGATGCCAGGGCTGGGGGCAGCAGAGACACACACCCAAGACACCACAAAACAAAGACCAGTTTCCCGTGGGAAATGTCCAGCCAGCCTACATGTCCTTCTCCAAGCCCACTGGCCCACTCCCAGAACGTGAACTGTGCCCAGGCCTTATTAACTGGATCTGAGCACCACATGGCTGCCTGCTGTTCTAAGAAACTGGATATCTGCAGCTTCTACAAAAGGAGACAGAGCAAGAGGTAAGACAGGCAGAGAGTGGCAGAGAGCTAGGAAGAGACAGTGAGGGACAGAGCAAGGCAGCCACAGCCAAGCTGACCCTCTGCCAGGGAGAAAAGGCCTGCGGGAGGCATGTGCAGAGCAGGGTGAGGGCCCAGCCTCCACCATTTGGCAGCAGTTCCAGCGGCTGCGCAGCCCTGCCCCACTAGTCGGCATGCGGCTGCTCTGGGGAGCCTGAGGCCTGAGAGAGGCGACTGAGAAAGCCCTGCCAATGCTCTCTACAGCAGCTGAATTAGGAATCTAGGCCTGGCTGGTTTTCCTCTCTCCACCTTAATTAAGACACTTCGCAAGCTTGCAGAGAGGGATGGGCACCAAGTCTCCTTCAGGGTGGTAAGAGACTGGATTCCTGGTAAGAGACTGGATTCTCAAGGGCAGCTGCTTTGAGGCCCTGCCCGGAACCAAAGTCCCCAGAGAAGAGGAGGCACCTCCAGGACTCTACGATCCGCAGAGTCAGCACCATTTGGAGGAGCTCTGGGCTCCTGCATTGGCTCAAGACAGCTGCCCCATCCCTCAGCCTTTTGTCCCCTGGAGGCCTGGTCCTGCCTGGTCCCGCCTAGTCCCAGGCTTGCCTCATGCTGAGCCCTCTGCCTGCACACTTGGCCATGACCACGGCCAGCAGGGCCGCCTCCCTCTCCTCATCAGCCTTCAGGTTCTGGCTTAGCCACCACATCCATAGGACATCCTCCCTTGTGTCCCCACTCTCTTCTATCCATCTGTCCATCCGTCCGGAAGCACACACAAAGCAAATGAGAGCAGACCAGGCAGGCCTGGGCACGCACCTTCTCCGTGACCAGGTCGTAGAGCAGCGTGATCACACGCACGGCCAGCACCTCTGTGCCCTTCTCCTGCACCAGGCTCCTCAGGACCTGCAGCCCTCCCAGCTTCAGGAACTGCCGCTGGGCATAGGGGAAGTGGCGCAGCAGGGAGCACAGCGCAAACAGGACCTGGGGGCAGATCCAGGGGCAGGTGAGAGGCCAAACAAGTGGTACCTGCCCCGAGGCCCAGGGAAGGCAGCCAGAGGTGCCCCAACCTAGTGCTCATTCCTCCCAGCCCCACCCAACACCTCAGGTATAGCTACACCCCAGAACCCAGGACTGAGGCCAGGAGGGACTCAGGCACCTTCAACATTATCAAGTGGGTAAATGGCAGGGTGGGAGGCCAGGAGTAGGGCCCAAGGCCGTACCACGGGAGCTGCCCCCAGGCCTCTGGACACCTCGGCACACTATCACCTGCTTTAGTTGAGTGTGACCTCTCCCCCATGCTACCCAGCAGATGATGCTCAGGCCCCCCAGGTGACATGCACAGCCTGAACAGGGACTCTTTCCTTTCAGGCCCACAGGTGTCCTGGGGGCCGGGCAGGAGGAAGGGCGTGGAAACACACCTTCTTCTTTGCTGTGAGTGGCTGCTCCGTGGCCAGGATTACCAGCAGCTTCTGTAGGGCTCCCCCTTCGATGGCCTCCACCTGGACTTTGGGATTGCTGGGGAAGAAGCATAGGAAAGCGTGAGCACCCTGCCCAGCCCAGGGATCAGGTGGTGAGGGAACTGAGCCCACGCCAGCCATCCCACGGGAGAAACAGGAACAATGGAGGTTCCCAATTCGGGCAAGTCGAACTCAGCCTGGGAAACAAAGACCATCTGGCACAGACCCATGTGGGAACAGTGGCCCATGCACAGATGACAGGGCTAAAGGCTCCCATGCCAGCCCCCACTCCCCAGCAGCCAAGGGGTTGGAGCCGGCTGGGAAGGTGAATCACCTCTACTACTTTAAAGACAGCTCAATGCCAAAGGCACTCCTTCAGCGTCCTCCCGTCCTCCCATAGGAAGCCAGTGCCGGATGGTCCTTCTCCATGACCCCAGACACATCACACACTGGAGCAATTACTAATGGGTCTGTTTCCCTCTGGGTCTGACGCCCCAAGGCCAGGGCCCCATTCCTCTCTTCTCCTGGGTCGGTACTCAGACCGCACATAGAAAATGCTTGTGGGAGAAAGCAAGAAGAAAGTGCAAGAGACAGGAGCCTCTGAATACCTAGGCAGATCCTAAAACAGGACAACACAAAGCCTCCCACTGGGCTCCCACTCTACAACAGCAGCTACTGTCAGCTTCTCTGTCTCGGTATTCTCAGCCCTCAGCACAGAGCCTGCCACCTCATAGGTCCTTGGACAGTAGGAAATGAATGAATGAATGAGTGAATGAATGAACAAATGAAGAAACAAACACGGGTACACCACCTGAACATACCAACAAATAAGCCACACCAAAGTACTCAAACCCTGAGCTGCCTCTGGAACTCCTCTCCCCTTTCTTGCCTAGAGAAACAGTGATGTGATTAAAACATTTCAGGCCCAGAACTCCCAGATGAAGGGATGGGGGGGCCTGGTGGGGGCCCCCATCAGGGCAGGGTGCCAGGCAGGGAACATGGCTGGGATCCCTTGCAGGATACCCCTTTGCAGGCTCCTTGCTTTTCAATATCACATTAAGGATCAATTAAGGAGCAAATGCCAAGCACAGGGACCAGATGGTCAGGCCAGGCCTCTTCTCGCAGCAGCCTACTGCGAGGCCAGAGAGAAGAGAGGGGACACAAAAACCTGAGGCCAGCAGCAAGTGAAAAGGGACAGGCCAGCAGTCAGATGGTGGCTGTCACACCCACCCAAATAACTGGCAAAGGATGCTGCAGTCTACCAAAGTCACCAGTGCCTCTGGCTGCCTGACCTTAGCATGACCACAAGCTCCTGGAGACCCCAAAAGCACCTGTTCCTCCTAACTCCCAATGCTTCTGGCCAGGGGTCACTCATGGGATCCTTGAGAGTGAGCTAGGGTATAAGGAAACACAAGACAAATTAGAAGGAGCTGGCTCCAGAAAAGACAGTGTGCCACCGCACAGGAGAGAGCTCAACACACAGCAGGTGTGCCCCCAAAGCCAGCCGAATGGAATGAAGATAGCTCCCCACTTCTATTCCAACCAGGAGCCAGCTTCGAGGTCCACAGCAGACCCAGCACACTGAGCCAGCTTCCTAAAGGGAAAGGCTCCTTTGTACCATGTGTCACTCTGTAGCCTCTCAGCCAGAAAGGAAGTACAGGGTGGGTGCCAGCCTGTCCCACAGCAACTCCACCCTTGTGTCTGCAGAGCAGCCTGGAGATGGGCCAGAGTCTCTGGGGAAGGAGGCTGACAGCTCCTCTCCAGATAGGCAGGCAGGCGCTGGCTCGGGGGGCCTGGGAGCCGAGCTGTTCCCCTGCCCCCTGACTTGAGACAGGCAGCTGCTTAATCAAAGCATGAGCTAATTAGGGCTGTCTCTGCCATCATGTGCCTAAGGAACGTTTACCTATGACAGGAGGGTCCAGAAAGAGAAGACGACCATGCTGAGAGATTCACATAAACATCAAATGCTGCCTCCCGAAGTGGGGCTGTGACATCTGACACTGCATCAGCCTGTGGGAACACTGCCGAGGAGTCCCATCCCTCATGGCCTTCGGAGCAACAGAGACAAGGCCCTCCAAAGACAGCACAAAGCTCATCACTGCACCCCATCATTGCAGCCCCAGTTAATTACTGGGGCTGGACTACCAGAGCCCTTCCACTTTCTGCACTGGGACCAGGGCAAAGAGAAGTCCCTTCTTCAAGGAAGGCTGATGTGGCCCAAGAGCCACCCACGCCAAGCCAGCAGCAGCCCAGTCCCACTCACCCTGCCTCCCTCAGGCAGGCTCCTCCCACCTCGTAGGAAAGAACAGAGCTCCAACAAGGGAGAAGTAAATCGGAAGTCTGGCCTTTTGTAAATTGCTGAAATCAAGTTCATAAGGCAATAAATTCACATTTTTACCCACAGCCAAGTCTGTGGGTAGAGCCAGACCATGGGCCAAACCTGGGCTGTGACAGTGCATGGCCTTGGCAGCCCTGGGCCCATGCCCTGCCTGGCCTCTTCAGGTGATCAGCTTAAATGAGGTGCCCAAGGAACCTTGGGAACTCTGGGCCCTATCCCAGTGTTCCCGCAGCTTCTGGAGTTCCCTAAAAGGCCACCCTGTGAAGGCAAGGGGTTGGGGAAACACATCAGAGGAATAGGGGGAAGATGAGGCCTGTGCTTCCAGCTGCCTCTCAGTCCATCCAGCAGGGCCAGCAGAGCTGAAGGTTTCCTGAGCGATCTCCCCACAAGGGCAGAATCTGCTCCCAGAAACAGACCCACTCTCTGCAGGCAGCTCAGCCTTGGGCTCTAAATGCTCACAGCCTGTGGCTGAGGGTGGTAACTAACAAAATAGCTCAGAGTGAGGCCAGGGCCTGGAGGACCCTTGCTGGGAATCGCAGGAACAATGGCTGACAACCTTGGGCAAGCCACCACCTGTGCGGCAGAGCTAAGTCTACCTGTATTAAAGACAGAATAGCTAATGAATGCCAAAATGCCAGTGCCAGCCAATGCACTGTGGCCAAAAGACAATTACAGAAGAGGCCAGACCACATCCTGGAGAACACAGCTTTATTCAGCCCGGATGCCTCGAGCACATACACATATGCCAGCATCATCCTTCTCCAGCCTACGGATTCCAGACCAGAGCTGCAGCCCACCCCTTGAGGGGCCAACTCTGCTGGATGGAAGGTAGGTGTCCTGTCAGTTGGGGATCTGAGTGAGTTCAGATCACACACACACAAAACACAAACAGGTGGGGGCCTGGCACGCCTCAAAGTGACATCAGTGGCACTAGTGTGCTCAAAGTCAACAGAAGGATATTAAGGACGTAGCTCATCTCCGATGCGATAAATGAGAATAAACCTTGTTCAGGGCTAAGCCGGCTGGACTAAATAAATACCATTAGCACTTGGATTACTGGGATGTTCACAATCAGCAGGCAAGTCAGCTGTCTGTGTGCAGAGGGACGGCAGCAGCTGCTACTCTGTGAATCTTGCAGAGGGATGGGCTGGGGGTGGGGTGTGTTGCAGAAATGGAAGTGATTGCATTTGCAAAAACCAGAGAGTTTGGGTCAGGGTGACAGCAATTCGGGTAATCAGCCAAGAGTCAGAGGTCATATTTTAGCTAACTGAAGCTAAGCGAGTGTCTGGGTAGAAGGGGACTGAAGGAGCGGACAGGGAGGGCAGGCCAGCTCAGCCAGGGGCCCAGGAGATTGCTGCCCAATGCACACCCAGGGGCTGCCTTCTCCACCCCTAGACTCAGGAGTGGCTACAGAATTTTCAGGCCCAAGTGCAATATGAAAATGTGGAGCCCTTTGTTCAAGAATTATCAGAAATTTCAAGACAGTGAGAACAGAGCATGAAGCCAAGCATGGGCCCTTCTGAGCGTGGGGTGCTGTGCCCCGCACGGTGGCAGGGCCGACAGGGTATGCACAGAGCTCCTGCTTCAGGGCCGACTGGCACAACAAGGGCTGAAAAGGAAGTCTGAATTTCTGGCAAGGAGAACTGGAAAAGGCAGAGCTCTAGGATGGGCATAAGTAAGAGTGACTGGTTAGATGGGAGCCAAGGAAATACTAAGATATAACTGAAGAGAGCTTCTGTGATTGAGACTGCCAGACCAAACCAGGATACCAGAGGCACAGCAGAGGGATGTGCTCACTCACGAGTCCTCGTGACATTTCTAAGTGCAACAAATACTCTTTTCATTCCCTTACAACAGGGAAAAACTACCACTTCTTGTCTGAAATGCCTCTGAGATGATGCCATGCACTGAGGGCAGAGGGCATGTCTCAGGGGTATGTGGGGCCAGGTGCAATCATTCACCTGATAGAGTGCAGACTCGCCTTCTGGCCCAGAGAGAAAGATCTCCTCTGGTGGCCCCACCTTGCTTATGCCCTCATGTGTAGCCTCCATCATCTGGGAAAGTAAGAATTTGCAGGATGTGTAATCCTGAAATAGGTGGGTTCAACAGACACCTATATTCGCCTGCTGTCCAGGGATGAGTCGGGTTAGGTAATCAATCAGTTAAGATATAAACAATTGGCCCAGCACGGTGGCTCATGCCTGTAATCCCAGGACTTTGGGAGGCTAAGGTGGGTGGATCACTTGAGGTCAGGAGTCAGAGACCAGACTAGCCAACATGGTGAAACTACTAAAAAGACAAAAATTAGCTGTGTGTGGTGGTGGGCACCTGTAATCCCAGCTACTTGGAAGGCTGAGGCAGGAGAATCGCTCGAACCCGGGAGGTAGAGGTTGCAGCGAGCCAAGGTCATGCCAATGCACACCAGCCTGGGCGACAGAGCAAGACTTCGTCTCAAACACACACACACACACACAAAACACAAACAGTTGCCGAACTGAATAAAAATGGAATAGGTTTAACAAAAAAAAAAAAAAAAAAAACAAACACAGGACAAATCTCCCACTGTAAAGTCAAGCTTCTAGGAGTAACAAAGCACCCCTCCAGCAACATGAACTGCACATCACTTGTGTGGTGGGATCTGAATGGTCTCAGGAGTTCCATCTGGACACTGGGGAAAGGCAGGGCTATCATCTGACTCCTTCATGTACATTCCCCAACTG